TGAAACCTTGAGTGTTTAATGGTTGAAGTTTGCACACAATATAAGACAAGTGTGGATGGCTAAGATTGACATTGAAACCTTGAGTGTTTAATGGTTGAAGTTTGCACACAACATAAGGCAAGTTTGGGCTTGAAATAAATCATATGATATTCTTTTCTAGAATTGGAATAGAATTGATTTTTGGGACAAATTTGGAGCACTTATTTGAACCAAAATTTGCTTCAATCTTCAACTAAATATCTCTTCAATTCTTTGTTCTGAATTACGACGTTGAGTTTCCTGAATTGATTCATTTAAGCTCCAAAAACCTATCGAAACATTAAAACAAACTTCATTACTGAAAAGCACATCAATTATTATAAAAAAACCAAATAAAAACAATAAATACATATGCAAAATAAGAGACTTAATGACACTTTTGATGCACAATCATCTATCAAATAATTTTCTTAGAACCTGAACATGATCTTCTTCATTCTTAGACTTGGCAATCATATCATCCACATACAATTCAATCTCTTTATGTATCATATCATGGAAAAGTGTCACCATTGCCTTTTGATATGTGGCTTTAGCATTCTTTAACCTGAATGGCATCACTTTGTTTATTCATGCTTGTTATAATTATCTTTTAATGTTTATTATTGTTAATATTGCTTATTAGTTAGAGTGTGAATTTTCTAATTTGTTGTATTTTTATTTTTGAGTTATTACTTTATCTTTTACATTTCATTTACTTTTATTTGCAATCTTCTTTTTCTTTTTCCTTTCTTTTCATATTCATATAATTTTTATATTATTATTATTATTATTATTATTTTTTCATCATGGCTAATGTTGAAGATGTAGAGGGTGAAGGGAGTGTTCAAGGTAATGGACCTCCACAATTCAATGATCAACCTAATTTTCGAACTCTTAGAGAGTATATTCACCCAGCTAGACAAAGTACACCTTTGTGTATTATCTTGCCCCTAAACCAACAAGCTTTCAATTTGAAACCGGGCATGATCCAACTTCTTCCCACATATCATGGTATGGATTCTGAAAATCCATATATACACATTAAGGACTTTGAAGAGGTATGTAATACTTTTATTGATAGAACATGCACTGAAGAAACTATTCGGCTGAAATTATTCTCATTCTCTCTAAAGGATAAAGCCAAGCTTTGGCTAAACTCCCTGCATCCTAGGTCTATAGGTACATGGAGAGAAATGCAAGCTGAATTTTTGAAAAAATACTTCCCCACTCATAAGACAGTAGCCTTACAACGTCAAATGATGAATTTTTCTTGTAGTCCAAATGAGTCATTTCACCAAGCTTGGGAAAGGTTCAAAGACTTGTTAAATGCATGCCCCCACTGACACGACGAAAAGATTGATGTCTTCTCCCAAGTGCAGGAGTGTCAAAGTAATAAATAACCCGGCAAGACCGGGGTCGAACCACAGGGAGGTTAATTGTACAAATTATAAATAACAATTATACAACAACAACAACAATAATAATTATAAACAACAATAATAACAATAACAACAACAACTATAATAATAATAATAATAATAATAATAATAATAAAGAAAAAAAGAAGAAGATGATGATGAAGATGAGAACTTCGAGATGAAATATTAACGTAAAGATTTAACAACGATAACAATAAATGTCAAGGTTAGAGGATCCACTAATGGTATGTCAAACAAGTATAGTATAAACTCTTATTATTCAATTGGAAACCATATACAAAGGAGGTTCCAATCTAATTATAGAATGTTAACATGATTACATTAGTCATCTTATTCGATTAATGCTAATACTTGTAAATCTCGTCAAGCATTCATGATTATAACTTATGTTAACAACAAATCAAGTTCCTTTCATAGCTCAGGTGTCGGTTATACCATACATTATGGGCTATGAAAGTGCCAAGCATTTGTTGTACCAAGTGTTATACAACATAAATCAAGATTAATCATTTAACAAGCAAAGTATTAAAGAGTGAACAAGATAACAAATACAAAACATGTTAGCTACTCTATCTCTGCCTTGACCTTGAGCACAATATCCGGGCGAGTTCTTCTTAATTTCTACTTAATAGGTTTACATCCTTCTATCAAAGGAAATTTATGTACTACAATATCCACGTCTAAACCAGGCATATCTACATAAGACTAGGCAAACACATTGATATACTCTTGTAGTAGTGAGGTTAAACTACATCTTTCTTATGTAGTAATCAAAGTTCCAATCTTTAGCTCTCTTTTATCTTGTTCGGTGCCTATATTTATCGCCTCTAATTCTTTTTTTGTAGGTTTCCAAGCATGCTCCGACTGTTCTACCCATCTAGTGAACTCTTTTATATAATCTTCATTCCATTCCTCTTCATCCATTGCAATCTCATCCTTATCAAAGTTTGGTCATTCATTTTCAATGTAATATATTTGTGGATTTATGGAGGACTCGCATTTAGAATTCCTGAAAGCGGAAGGTGTTTTTAATGTAAATGCATATCTTGTAGCCAAACAAAACAAAAGGAAGATAACAATTATTGAGGAAAATGCATGATCTCAATAATATTTTAAAAGTTGGCTCAACAATTATGAAAAGACCTTATGTTGACATCTTGAGCCAATATTTCAAACTAGGTATAAAAACACAAAGCAAACTAAAATGCAAAGCACATAGAGCATATAAAAGCAAATATAAGTAGACGCTTAATCATTACTTCTTAAAAACAACTGGGGCTTCTTCAATCTTCCAATTCTGGAATACTTCATCAACTGAAAGCTTTCAAACAAAGGCATTGGTTAGAGTCTCTTCTAGAGAGTGGACATTTAACTAAGGTAACAATTCATCTTTTTTTGTTATTTTTTGCTCATCATCATAGTTCCAGCATTTCCCTTCACCTTCCTTTACATTGTTGATATCCATGATAGCAAGTTTCTATCCCAAGACTTCCATCATGTTTTCAGGTTTCATTACATATACTGACTTTGGAAAAGAAACATGGATGGGTGGGATTACAATGTCTTCTTCTTCTAGCTTTCTTCCTTCTATTCTGGTCAACCTTTTTTCTCGCTTTATCCTAACAGCTCTCTTATGATCATCTTTCTTAGGCTTAAAGCCAAGCCCAAACCTCTGATCAGCAGCCTTAATTTTCATTATATTGACTCTTTTAAGATTTCCAGTAATTGGATCATTCTGGAATGGTAGCCTATATTTCAAAAAGCATTTACCTATCATTCTGGCAGTATCAGAAATAACTGGTCTTCTCAACACCGTATTCTCTGGTACCCATTCAGTGTTCACAATCTCGAAGGCATGGAGATTTCCATCTTTGCAATCTTCTATTTCAATATAAAGAATTGACACATTTTTTTTATCATGGAAAGAGTTTCTTCTGCCTTAACTTTTACTAGAGTACCATTGATAATATACTTAAATATTGTTGTAGATATGATGTCACAACCCCAGAGGTGTGTATCCATGGCCTTCCTAATAACATGTTATACGAAGTATGGATATCCATAACTTGTAAGGTTATCAAAAACATCTGAGGCCCTACAAATAATTCAATGGCAATGGTAGCCTCATATAAGTAGCATCAATTATCATCTTATCTAGCATATGCCTTGGTAGCACGTTCAAAGTTGAACCATTATCCATAAGCACTTTGCCGATCAGACAGTCCTTATATTTCACAGTGATGTACAAAGGCTTGCTATACCCAGTCCCTTCCGGGTCTAGCTCATCTTAAGTGAAGTATAAGTAATTGGAGACTTGAATTCTTCCCACCCATTGTTCCATTATATTCTGAGTAATATCATGTGGCATATATGCTTCATTCAACACCTTTTGCAATGCTTTATGGTGTAACTCAGAACTCAAGATAAGTTACATTAAAGAGATTCTAGCAAGACTTTTCTTCAACTGATTTACCATACTATACTTACTATGTTTCATCAACTTTAGAAATTCATTAGACTCCTCTTCACTTATAGGTTTGCTCACTTCCATATCTTTAAAAGCATCAACTATTTCTTTTCCTTTAGCTTTCCTCTGCCTCTCTAATTTTTCTGGTAGAAATCAACGACCACTTTGAGTTAAACCGTCTATTTTAGTATGAAAGATAGGATTAGGATTCTTAATATTGAAAGAATACCCATAATTGTAAGAGATTGTGCCATAACTTCCACTATTTGTGCATATAGGTTTAGTTAGGATTAGTTTTGATGGACCACCTAAAGTTGGTTAGAGTCTACAGACCTTTATTATTTTCTCCTAACGGCCTATCATCCCAACTTCATTGCTTTCTTCTTCACTCTCTATCTGTATCATGCTGAAAATCAGCATCCTTTTCACTTCTTGGTAAAATTCTTCATGATCATCAATGTGATGTCCCACCTTACCATGAAACTTACAGTAATTATTTCCATTCATCAGTGGTTCAAACATAGATAAATGTCCAGACTATACCAGCATACCATATAGTTTTTCTATAGAAACCTTCAAAGCTTTTTCCTTCTTACCCTCTACTCCTACAACATTCACCCCTCCACTGCTTGTAGCATGATTGGGTAAAGGGTTGGAATTCATATTCGATGCATCATCAAAAGTTATCCATCTAGCTTTTATCAATTGTAGAAGTTTGTTTTTAAATGCATTACAACTTTCAATGTCATGCCCAGTAATGCCAGCATAATACTTACATATCAAATCAGGCTTATACTAATCTGGGTATGGAGGTTGTAGTGGGGTTAAGTGAATAGGGGCCACTTGCCCAATACTCAATAACTTTGAGTACATTTCTCCCAAGGAAAGTGGTAATGATAGCAATTGTTCTTGGGTTCTTTGAAAATTCCTTCTTGGAGGATTAACAATCTGATTACTTTATTGGTCAATTGGTTGGTTTTATTGGTTGTTAGGGAAAAGTTTAATGAAGTTTACACTTGCAACTTGTTGGGTAGGTATTTGGAAGTTATAATGATAATAATTTTTTTTCTTACCCTTATACCCTCCTTCCACATGGTTCACCTCGGAATCCTTCTTTTTCCCAATAAAGCCTTTCTTCTCAATAGGCTCTAACATTCTCCCCATTCTTATTGCTTGTTCTATCCTCTCAACGATAGTTATAGCATCATAGAAATGCTGAGCTGAACTACCCACTAGGTGTTTAAAGTAAGGAGATTTAAAAGTTTTGGAAAACAAAGTGACCATTTCTTTTTCTAACAAAGAGGGTTGCACGTGAGATGCTTTTTTATGCCACCTCAAAGCGTATTCTCTTACAGTCTCTTTGTTGCTTTTCTTTATTACTAACAACCTTGACTTGTCTAGGGCTACCTTCATGTTCAATTTATACTGCTCCATAAAAGCTTTTATCAAATCTTTCCACTTTCTGATCTTTGTAGTATCTAGCCTTGTATACCAGCTTAGTGCCGATCCAGAAAGACTATCTTGAAAGAAATGGATGAGAAGTTTCTCATCATTCACTACTTCTGCCATATTATTACAATAAGATTTAAAATGAGTGATTGGGCATTCAGTTCTAATATACTTGATAAATTCTAGTACCCTAAATTCTTTAGGTATAGCTACATTTGGAACTAAATACATCTCTGCAGAATGAACAGGATCATATAAGTCTGCCCCTTCGACTGCCCTCAATCTTTCTTCCAGAGCGATCAATTTATCATAATCAACATGTTTAGAGAATTTCATCCTATGTGAGTCATCAATTATCAAGTTTACAACCGGCATTTATGCTGGTGGAACATTGGTAATGTACTGTTGTTCAAATGAAAAAGGATTTGCTCCTAAATTTTGAGATGTGAATACAAAAGGAGCTGCTGGCATAGATACAGATGGAGTTGCAACTACTGGCTGAGTAGAGGTATCCTCCCCAGACTTGGATACTAAGGTCTGCTCAAGTAGACTTGTAAGTCATGTAATATCATTTTTCATGCTCTCCAACTCCCTCTGATAATGAGCCTCTAGATGTGTTCTTTCTTCGTTTTCCATTATCTTTCTTTGTAGTCGAGTGTACTGAATTTTATGGTCTTTTGGGGGACCTATATTTCAACCTGAATGAATACAAGTAAAATGAATGAAATGCACAAATGGATGCAAAATGCCATATGGATAATGCATGCTTGTTATTTGTTTCAAGTTTTCCTTTAACTTATGATGAGGAACCAGACCAGAATCTCTTAAAAAAGTTCTCACTAAGGACTCCAAACCTATAGGAACTTGAACCAATTTAAGGGAGAAATTTGATACCATAAATCAGAATCAAAATAAACATTTCTTATAATGAAAAGACGATGAAATTGTCTTTCATTAATTTACAATATTAGAATCATAACAAGTCGATCTTTCCAAAGCCTTGGGTCGTCATATGCTGAGATCTCATTAATTCCATCTCTAATCAAGCCAAAAAACTAATGGAATTCATTTCTAGTCATTAGCTCATGATTAATACTTAAAAGTGTATTTTTATCAAGGTTTTATATCATTATTTTGCATTTGAAGTATCAATAACTCCTTAACTAAAGCATGTTTTATAATAACATATCTAATAATATAAGATACCTTTAATTAGTGGTAAATATTCATTTTAAATATAGGCCTATCACATAAATGAAAGGATTGATTGATGAATTTAAGAACTGAAATTGAAAGGACAAAGAGATGGCTAAACTTAAAAAGAGATGTTGATGCAGTCCAAACCAAAATACTATTTAGTAATTGAGTCATATCTGGAGCTGTAGTTCTTGAATTTTGGTCTATTTTATACGGATAGAAAGATAAGACATAGGCCTAGATTTAAAAAAGTCATTTTCAAGTCCAAATTGTAGCAAAAACAAAAAAGTTTGAATCTGTCCTACAGCCCGCGCACTGTTCAGTTTTTGGCCCATATCTAAAGTTCTAGAAGTCCAAATGACCTGCAATTTTTTTTTTGTTTTGGAATTCAAAATGACCTCTATTTTTTTCAGTGGAAAGCTAAGATAATTTGCTACAACTTTCATGTTTTCAACTGGTCCCAGTTACAACTTTCATGTTTGCAACTGGCTCCATTTTTGATATTATTAATGATGTTTTGGGTAGACAAGAGAAGATAAGGATTGTCACCAAGTCAAGAGTTGGTTACCCACTCATCAATTAGTCATCAAATCAATAGTTCCCAATTTTGGCCTATAAAAAGAGGCATTTGCCATGCATTTAGGCATCTTGGTTTCCAGATCAAGATCATGCTCTTGCTTTCTCTCTTTGTATTTTTCTTGTATTTTTAAGT